TACAGTCACGGGGTGGCGGATTTGCATGGACTATCGGAAACTGAACACAGCCACTCGAAAGGACCATTTCCCATTGCCTTTCATTGACCAAATATTGTACAGGTTAGCTGGGCAGTCCCACTTTTGTTTCTTGGATGGATACTTAGGGTATAACCAGATCTCAATAGCCCCGGAAGACAGAGAGAAAACATCCTTCACTTGTCCATATGGCATCTTTGCCTTTTGGAGAATGCCCTTTGGACTTTGCAATGCACCGGCTACATTCCAACGATGCATGTTAGCCATTTTCACTGACATGGTAGAGGATATTATGGAGGTGTTTATGGATGATTTCTCCGTGGTGGGGGATTCATTTGAAGATTGTCTTCATAACTTAAGAAGAGTGCTCAAAAGATATGTGGAGACAAATCTAGTGCTAAAATGGGAAAAATGCCATTTATGGTACAAGAAGGAATAGTGTTGGGGCATCGAGTGTCCAGCAAGGGCATTGAAGTCGACCATGCCAAGGTTGATGTGATTGAGAAGCTGCCACCGCCCACTTCGGTAAAGGCAGCGAGAAGTTTCCTTGGGCACGCCGGGTTCTATAGGCGATTCATTAAAGATTTTTTCAAAATTGCTAACCCCTTATGTAAGCTGCTTAAAAAGGATCAGCCCTTTGAGTTTTCTAATGATTGCAGGTTGGTTTTTGAGGAGCTGAAGAAGAGATTGGTGACTGCACCCATCATAGTGGCACCCAACTGGGAGCAACCATTCAAGCTCATGTGCGACGCTAATGATTATGCTATAGGAGCAGTCTTGGGGCAACGCAAAGACAAGATGATGCACCCGATTTACTATGCAAGCAGGACGCTCAGCGGTGCACAGCTCAATTACACTGTAACGGAAAAGGAAATACTGGTTGTAGTGTTTGCCTTTGACAAATTCAGGTCGTACTTAATTGGTCCAAGTTATTGTTTATACTGACCATGCAGCAATTAGGTACTTGATTGCAAAGAAGGAGTCAAAGCCACGCTTGATTCGCTGGGTTCTTTTGCTACAAGAATTCGATCTAGAAATCCGTGACAGAAAGGGGACGGACAATCAAGTGGCAGACCACCTCTCAAGATTCGAAGGAGCCGAAAAGAGAATAGAGGTTGAAGACATAACAAAGACATTCCCGGATGAACAGTTACTTGTTGTGACAATGGAGGAGACGCCATGGTATGCTGATATTGCTAACTATTTAGCAAGTGGTATTGTACCTTATGAACTCTCCTCAATTCAAAAGAAAAATTTCTTCCGCGATTGTCGAGCCTATTATTGGGACGAACCTCTATTGTTTAAAATATGTGTAGATAACATGATCCGGAGGTGTATCCCCGAGAAAGATCAACCTTCTATTTTGCAGGCTTGCCATGCTTCACCACATGGTGGACACTTTGGAGGAATCCGAACAACAGCAAAAGTCTTGGAATCGGGATTGTATTGGCCTACCCTGTTCAAGGATGCCCATGCTTGGGTCAAAATTTACGATGAATGCCAAAGGGAAGGCAACATATCTCGCCGTCACGAGATGCTGATGACCAAAATTCAAGAGGTGGAGGTTTTTGATATTTGGGGGATCGACTTTATAGGGCCGTTCGTCAGCTTGTATGGTAACAAATATATATTGGTAGCGGTTGACTATGTCTCAAAGTGGGTCAAAGCGGTGGCTCTCCCAACCAATGATGTAAAAGGGGTAACAAGTTTCCTAAAGAAAAACATCTCCACACGTTTTGGCACCCCGAGAGCTATAATCAGTGATGGTGGAACCCATTTTTGCAATAGAGCGTTTGCACGTCTATTGGAAAAGTATGGAGTTTGCCACAAAGTAGCCACACCGTACCACCCACAGACGAGCGGGCAAGTTGAAGTGTCCAATAGAGAAATTAAAAGTGTCCTGACAAAGATAGTGAATGCAACAAGGACTGATTGGGCGAAGAAGCTGGATGATGCATTATGGGCGTACTGCACATCATTCAAAACTCCAATTGGTATGTCACCATACAAGTTGGTGTTTGGAAAGGCATGCCACCTTCCGGTAGAGCTCGAACATAAAGCACTTTGGGCACTGCGGCAGTTGAATCTGGATATAGAAATCGCAGGCACCAACAAAGTCACTGAGTTACATGAGCTCGAGGAATTCAGGTTCCATGCATTTGAGAATGCTAGATTATACAAAGAAAATATGAAAATGATCCATGATAAGCACATCTTATATCGGAACTTCAAGCCCGGAGATCTAGTGTTGTTATACAACTCGAGATTGAGATTGTTTCTAGGTAAGTTGAAGTCCCGATGGTCAGGACCCTTCAGAGTGGTGCAAGTGTTCTCAAGTGGAGCTGTAGAGATTGAATCCGAAGATGGGATAAATAAGTTCACGGTAAATGGGCAAAGGTTGAAACATTACCTTGGAATGGTCGAAGAGAAAAGGGATAGAGTGGTGATAACTTTGGAAGAGCCCCAGTACGCGAACGAGGAGTGATAATGAAAGCCTGCATCGTGCCGCGAATTTAAATTAGGTGCTTCCTTGGAGGCAACCCATGGTTTGTTGTAAATCGTTGTGCCGCGATATTAACTTAAGCGCTTTTTGGGAGGCAACCCATTATTTTCTTACTTTGGTTGTTGTAATTGATTTTGAATGACTTTGACCGATCTACTAGTGTGCAGGGCAAAAGTTATGCGCATCGGAAGGATTCGTGGGTCGAAATTAACCCGAGAATAGGTAAAAATACGGCAAAGACAAAAATTGGCTGGAGACGGAGATCCGCGACCATGGATTGGGCCACGGATATGGCCGCGTATTTTGGCCTGTGTTCTGCCCCCCGTCCGCGGCCGCGGATTGGGGAGAGGATTTTTTGTCCCCCTCTGCCCAGAATCCGCGGCCGCGAATTGGACCGCAGATCCGGGGCGTGTCTAGGCAATTGTTTTTTAATTTTTAGTCAATTTTTTTTATGTTCTATAACTTAACCCTACTTCCCTTCCCACTTCCCCTACTTCTCGTCTTTCCTTCCTAACTTCAAGTCCCCAAACCCTTCTCCTCCCCCCCCCCAACTAAAACACCCCCTCCCTTCCCCCATATTTTCCTTTAAACACCAGACTCTTCTCCTTCCTTCTCTTCTCCACTCAACCAATCTCCAACCTCCGTTCTTCTCAAGATCTCCAAGTAAGTACATGATTTTATTCCTCTTTCTTAGTATTTAATTTTTTTTCTTTTCAGTGATTTTTTTTCAATCTTTTCCCTTGCTATTGTATGGATAGGGTAGTAAAATCATAGGTGCTTTTGTCTGGGATTCGGATTGTGGTTTATATGTAGTATATGGAGGCTATTTGAATATGTTAATTTGGGGGAAGCCATTGTTGGGTTTGTGAGGAATGGTAGTCTAATTGGGTTTTTGGGTGACTTGGGGGGACATATGCACACTACTTGTTTGTTGATTTGCCTTAATGAGTGTTGAATATAAATTGTGACCAATTGTGCGAGTGAAGTCTGAGTAACCGCCATTGGGTCACATATTCCGCTCTCCACTGATAGTAGTATTTATTGTGTAGGTAACATGCAACCTTCAAGGAAGAGACGTGCTACCGGAGCCTCATCAAGTGGTCATGGAGGCTCATCTCGGGGACGGGCACCGGCCAGTGCAGCTTAGTTTGATCGTACCAGGTTTGTCTCCAGAGTTGCCCAAGACCATTTCAGTTTGAAGGCCACTAAAAAACCTGTACCGGAAAGGGGTATTGATAGGGTGTCCCTCCAGGATGAGTGCCTTAATATGTATCAGGAGTTGATCAGGCACAGATTGGACAGCTTTTTCGAAAAGCCGGAGGAGGGTAACTTGATGCTTGTCCGGGATTTCTATGCCAACTGCCCCGAACATGAGGATAGAATATGCATTGTGCGACACACGAGGGTGGATGCCTCGATAGAATCCATCAGGAGAGTGTATCGATTGCCTGAATTCAATGGGGAGGAGGATTTCTATGATACTTACAAGAGAGAACCCATCACATGGAACAATTTTGTCAAAACTATCTGTGCACCAGACAAATAGGTAGTGTGGGTTGTGATGGGATCGAAGCTACACTCTGCCTCACTCACTTTTGAAGGAAAGTGCTGGTTGTACATCATCAACAGTCTCTTGCTGCCGTCCCACAACACCACAAAGGTAAATGGTCCGAGAGCTGCCTTGATCTGGTGCTTCGTGAATGGCCACGACTTTGAAGTGGCCAAGGTTATTCAGATGTTCATCCGTTCACCACAGAAGAGGTATGGTTTCTTTTTCCCCTCTCTGATCACTAGATTGTGCCGGGCAGCAAGGGTGACTGAGAACCCAAATACGGATGGCATGGTAAAGAAAGAAGCAAAGTTTCGGGCAGACAAAGTAACCATCGGGAAAGACCCGGTGGCACCAGGGGCAACTCAAAGTGACGATTCTAATGAGTCAGAAGAGGGCGATGAAAGGCAGGAGGAGGTTGAACCTGCCTCACCCCCACAGGAACAAGCTGCAGCGGCTGAAGGACCATCCCAGGTCAAACAGAGTACACGGATGACAACCTTAGAACAAGACATGGCAGGACTGCGCACTTCCGACACGGAGTTGGGGGCTAGAGTTGATACTTTGGCCACCCAAAATGCGAAGTCAGAAAAGAAAATCATGGGATGGCTGCGTGCGCTGGGGAGAGCATGTCATCTCGAACCTGGCACTGTCTCCGATCAAGACTGATCCACCAGGAAAGTTCTTTTACCTCGCATTACTTTACTTTGTATGACATGGGTACATGCCATCTTTTTAAGTGTGGGGTGGGAGATACTTTGTTGTATGTTGTATGCAGATAGTTTCGTAGTTTATTTGTCTAAATCAATTTCGACTTGGCCCGACGATGGATATCATTCGACGGGTTTCTTGAGGGACTAAAGTCGAAAGAAAAAAAAACCAAAAATATTTTCTTTTGTAGTAGGGTATCAATTCCCCCTTGGAAGGGTTCGCTCGCCACCGTCGACGCATTTGCTTCTTCTAATTTTCTCCGGCTCCGATTCCACACCAGAATACAACATGGTTGCCGCCAAGAAAACCAAGAAGGCTCATAAGAGTATTAACAATAGGCTGGCTCTGGTTATGAAGAGCGGCAAATATACATTGGGATACAAAACTGTACTCAAGACTATTAGAAGCTCCAAAGCAAAACTTGTTATCATTGCCAACAACTGCCCTCTTATCAGGAAGTCTGATATAGAGTACTATGCTATGTTGGCAAAGGTTGGAGTTCATCACTACAACGGAAACAACGTAGATTTTGGGACTGCCTGTGGTAAATACTTCAGGGTTTGTTGCCTCAGCATTATCGACCCAGGTGATTCTGATATTATAAAGAGTTTGCCTGGCGATTAGTGAGAGGCTGTGTTAGATTCGATGTTGTTATGAATCTTAGTGGAAAGTTGCCCATTGTATTGTGAAAAATGGCTTATAGATGAGTTTTGGAAACTTCATTGATCATTTTGAAAGGAAGTTTTGATGATGTTGAATCTGAGTAACAATTCTCCTGAGTTGTCTTTCAATCTTATTCCCTGTGGACTTTGATCTACTATGCCTGTGCTCACTTTAATTATGTATGTTGAATTCCCACATTCCTATGCCACTTTCTGCAATTTTATGATGAAAAAAAATCCCCTTGGTTTTTCTTTAAACCATTGTTCTTTTCTAAGGGTTTTGTTTGAACCGGGTGTAGTTAGCTTTTTATTTTTAGTTAGGAACTTATGGGTTATGGGCAGAATTAGAATAGGATCCCTTAATTTCGTAATGCCTTGAATATAACAGTTACTTTAGTGTGACGCTTAGGCTCATTTGTTGACTCTTGTAAGAAGGCCTTAAAATGTATGTTCTTAATTTGGTTTAAGTACCCTGATCTGAGTATTTGATGATCTAATCTGGAATGAGTCATGTGCCATGTGTGTGTGAGGCTTGTTATATTCTGTGCACGACATTTAACACCTAGAACTTACCCCGTATGTCTGTAAAGATAAATGGTAGTCTTGTTTAGTCTGGGAAGTGATATATGCATTTCTTTGTTGAACCATATATATATACACATACTCCACCCACCTATTTGCTATGTACCATAGTTAACCCCGTTGAGCCTGTAATCCTGCTTCCTTGGCAACCACATTACAAGCCCTATCCCTTGTTTGAATTGACCATCTTTTTGAACCCTTTGCCTCTCGTAAGCACTTGAAATACTATGAATTTACAAAGGATAAAGTGTGGGGTAGTTGGTGGAGCTTTTGAGTGGAACTAGGAAAATAAGGAGAAAGGTATATCTTGTTGGAAAAGCCACTTGTGAAAAAAAAGAAAAATGAACATTGTTAATAGTGTATCATGTTGATTAGTAATAATTCTTTGGTGGCTTTTAAGGTGATTGTGCTCAAAGAAGAAGTGTGGGGTGGTATATTTTGTGTTAAAGATGAAAATATTGGTTTAACTTAGGTGTGGACTTGATTGTAAAATAAATATATTAAAGTGCTTAGGGAGGTGTAGTCACTATTATATCCAAATATATCCTACCCAAACTGCAGCCTACATTACATCCAAATAAAGTCCTATTTGATCCTAGACTAAGTGAGCTCAATTAGTAGAGTCATACACTACGGGCAAGCCTATGGTGCATTTTCTGTGGCACAAGAATGTCATTTCTGAGGGTGAGTGAATTTTATTCCTTTTTAAAATTCCTCAGTGTGTGTGAATTTTATTGATTGTGAAATGAGTCTCTTTTGTTGTGAGCAGGCACTTGATTCATGAAGGAGAGGTAATTCTGGACCTATGAATTAAAGTAAGTAAGCCGGTTAGGAACATTGCGTGGCTAGAGGGAGTCAACTCTTGAGGTGTAGATGTTGCACTAATGTCCTCAATTTATGTGAAATATTTTTGGTGTGACAAGTAGGGAATTCGCTCAGTGAAGTTAGGCCTCTTAGAGTGTGGTTTGATTGCTCGAGGACGAGCAATAGTTTTAAGTGTGGGGTGTTGATATGAGGCTATATTTATGCAATTTAGACACTAGTTACACTCTAATTTAGCCGCACTTTATTGATATTTGAATGCTAAAATATAACAAAATGCTCTAATTAAGAATTTGATGCTTTGTAGGAGCTACTCCGAGCTAGGAGGGAGCTAACGAGTGTTTTGGAGTCAACATGGAGTGTGAAAGGCCAATCGAAGGTTAGCCCGGTCGAAAAGGAGCGAGAAAAGCAAGCGAGACGACCCCTCCAGGTGCGCGGCCGCGAATTGGTCCGCAAGCTCAAGGCAGTGAGGCAGTGGAAATCCGCGGCCGGATCCGCAATCCGCGGCCGCGGACGGGCGAACGAAAGCCAAACACGCAGGGTTAATTATGTAATTTCTCAGGCGACTAACCTAAACCTAAATAAAGCATAAACTCGCCCAGAAGTCAGATATAGCTGGTTTTAGAAGATTTTAGAGGCAAAAACAAGGGAGAGAAGACGGATAATTTCCTAAGAGTTTTCATCTTCTTCTTCATACTTCTATTTGTTGATTATGAATTATTTTAGGGATTTATTTTCCATTAGTATGAGTAGCTAAATCTATTATCTAGGGTTGATGGAACCAATTGTTGGATGAAGTCTTGACTCTATTTTGTTATAATTGAGCCATGTTTGTTCTATGATTGTTCAACTACGTATTGTATTGTGGTTAATTGGAAGGGCCCTTGATTAATCGTGTCTAGTTACCTTGTGTTGCTTGAGAAAGAACACTTGGTTAGATTGTTGTTGGACTACACCACTTTTGGGTAAGTTAAGAGATTAATTACTTGAATTTAAAAGTGAGGTTAGAAATAACGAAACTTTGGTGGGATAATTCTGAGTTGCATAAATTGTTAACTAGAGTAGTTCGAGAGAATGCTTCTAGTAAATCATCGCAATTAATCGAGAGATAATTACGGTAGCCCGGAACTCATAATCCTCATAGAGTATTACGACGAGATTATAGCTAAAGAGTTAAGAATTAATCCGGCAATTGGGGAAATCAATAGCCCTAGATCCTTTTACCCTTGAATTCAATTTTATTCTTGATTATTTCTAATTTTATTGTCATTTTTTCTTAGCTAAATAAATTCCACTGATTATTCATAAAACTCTTGCATCCGGAAGTTGTCTGAGATTATCATTAGCATTATTTAAAGTTGTAGTAAATAGGTTAGTTCCCTTTGGGATTCGACTCCGGACTTGAACCGAGTTATATTTGCAGCGACCGCTTAGTCCTTTTTACAAGGCATAGTTGGGCGCGATCAACCATGCTTGAATTTTTTCCCACTCATCTCACTAATACCTCACTTTTCACTCCATCATTCTCGCTCCCATTTTCCCCACACGTGTTTTCACTCCACTTTCCCACTCATTCCCTCACTCATGTCCCCCATTCCTTGTCCCCTACTCATGTCGCCCACTCTTTGTCCCCGCTCATGTCCCCCACTCAAAACTCCCATCTCCCCAAATACACAAAAAAGACGTACACATACTCAAAAAAATATAATACACGAAGATGAGGTGAACACAAGATCAATGAGAGAAGCAGCAGCTAAGAACAAAAAATAATGGCCACATCCTTTATTCTTCCTCCTCGCAATTCTATCACACAAAAACCTCATCAACTGATCATAATCTTCACCTCCAAAAATATTAGTTGAAACGCCCATCTAAACACATCGAAACCAGCTCCTAATTCACCAACAAAAAAGAAGAAGCTCCAAACCACCAGCAAAACAACCACAAAAACCATTCACTCTTTTGTCTAAAATTGTTTGATTCAAGTTCGATCTTTCTCATCCAAAGCGAGAGTTTCGAGAGATAGGTTCTGGCACGGTTTCTGGTCAGGTCTGCTCCTGTTTAGTTTCGTCTACGTGCTCTTTTGTCAACTGGCAGAAAGCTCTTTAATAAATTGAAAGTTATAAAATGTCCATTCTTGATCTTTATTGCTTTCCAACTCATCATTTAGTGGGTCCGTGCCAATGGATATATGCTGATTCATATTTTACGTGTTCTTCTCCGATTATTTTGTAATTGTTTGCCATATCTCTTAATTTTAAGTGTTGTCCATGTTTGAATATTCATATCATTCTGTTTTGTGCTCAAATAATTTTAAGACTATTAATTTTTAGTTTAGTTAAATAAGCATGAGTGGGATGATTGAAAAGTCAGTTGAATACTATGTTCCAATTCTTACTTTATTTTTATTTTTAGGTTTCACTATGCGTACTTACTAATTTGAGAAGTTATACAAGTATGATTATCTTCCCTTGTTACCATTTGTCCAGAATTTTATTTAAATAGTTTTTATTAAATATTTTCTTGTTTTAGTCATAATTTTCGTTAAATAATGTCATTTTAATCGGTTCATTAATTTGATAACAGTATGGAACAAAAAGAGTGTAATAAATTAGTTTAAAGGACGCAGTTGAAAAAGGTTACTAAAATCTTATTATGGTTACGGATTTGTTTACGTGGCGTGATCATTAAATTAAGAGGCACATCATAACCCCAATAATTATATTTTTGTCCAAAATTAATTCAAGCCAAGTTTAAGTCAATAAAGCGATCGTGCTAGAACCACATGACTCGGGGAATGCCTTACACCTTCTCTCCGGTCAACAGAATTCCTTACCCGGACTTTATTTTCGCAGAGCAATAATAAAAGAGTCAAATCTTCTTTTGAATAAGGATTCAAATAAAATGTGACTTGGAACACCCAAAACTCAATTTCAAGTGACGACTCTATAAATAAAATAATTCCTACTCAAATTTGTCACTTTAATTGGAAAAACTCTTTAAC